AGCGACATACGTCGCAGCCAACTGATCCAATCATTTTAAACTTCAGCAGAGGCCACGCCTCCTGCAAGAAATCGATTCTCTATGCATCAAGTCCAGACCCTTGTACGAAGCAAAGTGAAGGACAGGGTCTGGTTTAAACCAGGCTACTTTTTACCATCATTCATGGATGTTCCTGATCAAAACTCAATGCATAGCAATGGCGTCTGGTCTGTGCGGCGCACGATAAGTCACGTGATGTCCAATCCAGTAATATAGATCAATGCACCTGACATTCCACAGTTTAGCTGACGTTTATTCTATAAATATGTATTTGTGTAATGTGTTCTGTGAGCTGAAACGGCTGAGAAAAGACACGAAGGGAGGCAAATCTTTTTCAGGCTTAAGGAACGACAGTAGGTGCTCTTGAGCTCAGAGAATGCATGAGCTGCAGCAGAGGTTAGCTGCAGAATAAGAACAAAAAATTACAGTTAGCAAGCCAAGTGCAGAATTCCAGTTTATAAAGTTAAAAAAGTAAAGTACAGCAGGGATCCATTTGTTTTCTCTCTTTTAAACCTGACTTTTAGAATGGAGGATTATATATTTTAAAGCTTAAACTATTTTCTAAACTAGACTTTGAAAGGAAGCAGCAGGTAAATAAGAGCCACACCACAGCTGAGACTAAAGCTCTTCTGAGACAGTTGAACAAAATAGCTATGCCATTTCCTGCATTCTGGTGTTTTTTTTACCAGGTTCTTAAACATACAATTACATACATAAATACACTTGATTTAATTATTATTTCAGAGAAAGATTCTTCATTAAACTAGTTCTATCATCCTGTTTAAAACTCACTGCCACAGCTGAGATAAGGTTAATTAATGTGACACAAACGTAACATATCCAGTGACTTTAGGGGTGCTTTTCACTTTTATGTTGTTTATTCTTGATTTATTTTAAATTGTAACATGTCAGTGTACCAAATGACCATTAACTGATGTTTAAAACTGATAATAACTTTACCCAGTGAACAGGTGCAATATTGATAACCACCAACAGTGAATTTAGAGGGGCATTTCACTTTTTATGATTTAGTGATAGGTCTACTCATAACCAAAAGGAACAGGGTGTCAGGCAGCTTTCAGAACATAAAATGACACTGTGTTATGGTGACAAAAAAATTAAATAAAACAATAAACATTTGTCAGTTTTGTCAATCTGTATGTAATTATTAAAGCAAAAATAGGTCTACAGGTTCCTTCTGACCCTGGTACCACCTCAATTTCTACCACTTCCTACTTACTAATTAAAGTGAAGATTTTAATAAGCACGTAATTTTTATACTATTCAAAATATAATAAAATTCAGTTTAATTATGCTGTAGATTATGCTTTTAAATCAGTAATGTATTTCATAAACTTCACACAATCGTTTAGAGTGGACTCAAAATAAATATTGATTTGAGTAAACATTTTAGATTTCATTCATAATTTCCCAGCAGCACCTTCATCATCATCATCATCATCATCATCATCATCATCATCATATCATCACTCACCTGAGCCACAGAGCTCTATCCCTACCTGCTGACCCTGACTCTCATCAGCTCCTGCATCACATGAAGATGGATTAAACATTAGGTTTTTATTAGCAGCTGAAGTCAGTCAGCTTTAAAAAGTCAGAAAATATCATGAAATGTGGTGAATAAATAACAGATGACTATCTGGTCTGGTTTCATCAGTGATTGTGAGTCAACAGTGACATCATATGATTATTAAAGTTTTCAGACATGAACCAAGCTTTGTTTTATGATTAAAATATTCTGATAATAAAAAAAATCTACTCTCACAATGTTAGATTGCAATTGTTTTATACTTTAATAAAAACACCCAATAATCTTCTGATGTGATCATGTTATTCTTGCTGATAATAATATCACCAGCTGATCACTCTGTACTTTAGAAGATGCTTTAAATTACATTAACTGGTGGTGATATGTAAGCTAGCTGTAGCCAGCAGCCACTGTAACTGCATTAACTTTACACAGGATAAATCTGTTCTGTGGAGAGTTTAACTGTCTGTTTCTCTGTAAAACATCTCCTAATGTTGTGTGTCTGTGGAGGGAAACAATCACACACGCTGCCTTCTAGAAGTAGCTAGAAGTTAGTTTTAGGTTGAATATTTGCACTCCTGAAATTCACCGTCATCTTCCTCCCATCTAACCCGGTGGAGGTAGTCTGACGCTGGCCATCTCCGCTCCGGCTGCTCGTTCCCACTGGTACCTGCTGCAGGCTGCTGCTGACTGGAGGTAACCAGGAAAACTTAGAGCGACTTTTAGTGTGATGAGTTTTCTCCTGTCAATGAAGAGGAATGCATTCTTTCATCAAGTCGCCAAACAAAAACAGCACTGGGTGAACTGATGAGACGAATGTGGAGGGGTCCAAATGGATACTTTTGAAAAGTGGGGGGGACACGTCCCCTTCACTCACTATTGTTGCGACGCTATGGATTGGGATATTTTGAGTGGCACATGGATTTAAGTTATAAGGTAGGAGACAATAACTTTGTTTTAGTGAAATGTGCATCAAATGAGCTGCAGTTTTTGAACAGAACACTGATGTGAGATATGAGACATAACTCAACCTCTATCAGTCATATGGTGAATAAGTTATTCTGTAGGTTCATATATTTGTAAATCTGATTCTGATGAACTGAGTACCTCTCCATCCATGAACCTCACCACATCTCACTGATGAAAAGGAACATGCTGGATTGAATTATGTCTCAAATATTCATTTTTAATGCTATTGTTACCAAATTTGAAATGGTAGCCCGATATATATTTTTCCTCAATACCTGCTTTTTCTCAAATGTTCTGTGAAACTTTAAAAATAAAAATTTAGGGAGAAACTTTTTCTTGATTTTAGCGTATTTCAACTTCAATAAATTACAGTTGCATAAACAACTAAATCACCAGGCTGAGAGTAATCATTGGACGTACCTCTACAGATAATTAACTCATTCAAAATAACCATTACAGCTCAATGACCTTAGCAAACACAAAACTGACTGCAACTCAGTCAGTTTTATAGATATTGAAGTAAAATTTGGTGTGGTAGTAGCTGAGAGTCATCTACAGTACAAACTCTGAGTAGTAACAGAATTGGTTTAAATTTTTGGCATATAAACATTGAATTAATTTACTTGTCCATAAATCTCCAAAAATAGTTTTGGTGTAGAAGACCATCAGAAAACGATGTGCTCTGTTTCTCAACAGTACCACTTGAATCAAGATCACCTTTTATAAACAGCTGGACAGAGAAGCTTATTAAACTAACACAGGCCCAACACAAAAAACAGCTTGTAGGATTTTTGGTTCAAAAGAATGACTTTCAAGACATTTTGTTGAATTAAAATTTGACACTTAAAGCCATGTTTATTTCAAGGTCATTTATATTTTTTGTTTTTGAAGAGTTTTTGGGTTCGCTCAGAGATCAAAGATTCATTTGATCTGGTCTTGGAAGAGAAAGAACCAGATGCCTGTAAAGAGCTCCGTCTGAATAAATGTTGCTCTTCTCTTTCTTGTTCGTAGGTTTTCTCTCTGAGGGTTCCTGCTTGTTGGGCTGCTAATGTGAGGCGTTTAATGTCCTCAGTGTGTGAGTGTCGGATTAGCTTCCTCCCGCTGTGCAGGATGAGCTGACACATATGGGAGGCCAGTCTGAAACACACAGAGAGACAGACGGACACATTTATTTTTGTTGGGATCCTGTGTTGTAATTTCTGTACATTGACTCTGAATATCTGAGTCCTAAATCGGTTTAAAAAACTGGGTTTAAACCAACTCTGAACCCTAAAATTAACATTGTCAAAGTAACCAGTATATTGTTACCGTTTTGGTTTACATTGTTTTAAATGGACAGAACACAAATATTCACATACAAGCTTTGAGCTGAAAGGGTTCATCTGATTGATTCAAATGCCCTTCAGCTCCTGAACCTGATTGGTTGGATGTTTGTTTTATTCTCTAACTTCATATGACCTGAAATAATGATTAATATCAGTCAGTTTATTGGCCGTTTCCTCTGTTTTTCTTTAAACCAAAATCTCTTGAGGTGAAAAATGAATTAAATACTTTTACAAAATTGCTTTGATTTTTTTAAAATAGTCGAGCGTTTGAGCTACCCAAGTTTTGTTTCCATCACTCCACCAAATTACATTTGGCATATTGCTGAGCAAAACGTTTCCTAGATCCAGACTAGCGAAGATGTTTGTTCAGCAAGTGGCAAACTGATCTAGATCATACAGTACATGAAGCAGCGACCAGCATTTATAACCTCTGCCAAGGTAATAATGAGTTTGTATGATTGCTTGTTAGCAATATCACACAAAACTACCAAACTTAATACAGTGTATTACTGGAGCAAAGGAAGGACCTGCTGGAATAACTTTTGTTTCAAAATTAGCCTTGAAGAATATATTTTCTCAAAGATCTTTGTCTACTCATTGCCTTGTCTATAAAAATAAAAGGTACCATTTGCAAATTTTCTGCTTTTTTGTCTGACTTTTAGCCATTTAAGATTTTTTTAATGAACTTTAATGAATTCTAAATGGCAACTCTTTATGAAACTAGTGAGTCAAGGTATTGAAATACTGCAGTTGAACAGATACTTCTAGGATTTTTGGAACATCTAATGCAATAAAAATTAGCACCAAGAGACTTTACTATTAAATGTTACATTGACTCATTGACGTGACTTTTTTTTATAAAAATTACTAAGTGCAAGAAAATGTATTTCAGTATCAAGAACCAGTAAAAACTCTAACGTCTGTCTTTCAGGTTCTGGTAAAGCAGATTGTGTCCGGGCAGTCGATGTGCTTACGGTGCTCAGAGAAAAAGTGGCCTTTGTGTCGGGTAAAACACAAAAAATGCTACTGAAGTTTCATCCTATTTTTATTGTGATATAAGTTTTAGGAACTATTCTATGTGATTTTTCAGGTGGAAGGGACAAAAGAGGTGGACCAATACTGACATTTCCAGCCAGGACCAATCATGATCGAATAAAACAGGAAGATCTCAGTCGACTGGTTACCTACCTGTCAACTATACCAAGGTAGAACCCTCTTTTCCTAAACATACATGGATAATTTTCATGATTTATATAAACAAAACCAGGAAGTTTCTTTAAATTGTACATGCTATAAAATTCACAGAAGCATAAGAAACTATAAAACGTACAGTAGAAGTTTCTGAAGTGACGTTTACATGCAAATGAGGAAGAAAGAAGCCCAAGTTTGAGCACTGTCTGTCTTTCTATCAGTGAGGATGTGCGTGCTCGTGGATTCACAGTGGTTGTGGACATGCGAGGCAGTAAATGGGACAGCGTGAAGCCAGTGCTGCGAACACTGCAGGAGTCGTTTTCCTCCAACATCCACACAGCACTGCTCATCAAACCCGACACCTTCTGGCAAAAACACAAAACCAACCTGGGCAGTGCCAAGCTCAGCTTTGAGGTACCACTGTCTTCCTGAGAGAGCACTCCCACCAATGCTTGAATCATGAACTGGACCTCCTTTGTCAGTTCTTGAAGACATTTCATCTAAATTTTTTTATTTACAGCGGGTAAAATAAGTATTGAACACGTCAACATTTTTCTCAGTAAATATATGTATTACTAGAGGTGCTAATGACATGAAATTTTCACCAGATGTTGGTAACAACACAAGTGATCCATATATACAAAGAAATCAAACCATAAATGTCCAGAAATTAAGTTATTTGTAATAATGTGGAATGGCACAGGGAAATGTATTGAACACTTTTACTGAAATTTATCTAATACTTTGTACAAAAGCCTTTGTTGTCAATGACAGCTTCAAGACGCCTCCTGTATGGAGAAACTAGTGGCATGCATTGCTCAGGTGTGATTTTGGCCCATTCTTCCACACAAACAGTTCAAATCTTGAAGGTTTCGTGGACCTCTTCTATGAACTCTGATCTTTAGTTCTTTCCATAGATTTTCTGTTGGATWCAGGTCAGGTGATTGGCTGGGCCATTCCAGCAGCTTGAGTTTCTTTCTCTGAAACCAACTGAGAGTTTCCTTGGCTTTGTGTTTGGGCTCATTGTCTTGCTGAAATGTCCAGCCACGTTTCATCTTCATCATCCTGGTAGATGGAAGCAGATTTTTATCAAGAATGTCTCTGTACATTTTTCCATTCATCCTTCCCTCAATTATTTGAAGTTTGCCAGTACCATATGCTGAAAAACAGCCCCACACCATGATGTTCCCACCTCCAAACTTCACTGTTGGTATGGTGTTTTTGGGCTGATGTGCAGTGCCATTTGACCTCCAAACATGATGTGTATTCTGGCATCCAAACAGTTCAATGTTGGTCTCATCTGACCAAACTATATTCTCCCAGTATTACACAGGCTTGTCTAAATGTTGTGCAGCAAACTTTAAAGGAGCTTCAACATGCTGTTTCTTCAGCAGTGGAGTCTTGCGTGGTGAGCGTGCATACAGGCCATGGTGGTTCAGTGCATTACTTATTGTTTCCTTTAAACAAACGTACCTGCTAATTCCAGGTCTTTCTGAAGCTCTCCACAAGTGRTCCTTGGCTCTTGGACAACTCTTCTGATAATTCTTTTCACTCCTCTGTCAGAAATCTTGTGAGGAGCACCTGGTCGTGGTYGGTTTATGGTGAAATAATGTTCTTTCCACTTCTGAATTATGGTCCCAACAGTGCTCACTGGAACCTTCAGAAGTTTAGACATTCTTCTGTAACCGATGCCATCATTATGCTTTGCAACAATAAGGTTGTGAAGGTCTTGAGAGAGCTCTTTACTTTTACCCATCACCAGATGGTTCTTGTGTGATACCTGGCCATCATTTAGGACTGAACCAGCTGATATTAACTTGCACTGACAAGGGGCAGGCTTGCTTTCTAATTACTGAGAGAGTTCAGCTGGTGTCTTGTCTTTCCATGCCTTTTTACACCTCCCTTTCTTCATGTGTTCAATACTTTTTCCCTGTGCCATTCCACATTATTACAAATAACTTCATTTCTGGACATTTATGGTTTGATTTCTTTGTATGTATGGATCACTTGGGTTGTTACCGACATCTGGTGAAAATTTCATGTCATTAGCACCTCTAGTAAAATATTTACTGAGAAAAATATTGACGTGTTCAATATTTATTTTACCCGCTGTATTTTATTTATTTAAAAATGTATTCATTTCATTTAAAAACAAAACAAATGCTATACATACAACAAATAATAACACAACACAAATAAAATGAAAGGTAGCAGAAAGAAGAAAAAAATATTGATATCTGCCCCTTTTTCAAAAATGAATTGAAACAATAAGTCTTCAAACAACAAAACATAACAAAAACGTTAACTCCTTTTCGAACAACAGTTCTTATGAATGCACATTATACAAATTCATATTTCTTCAACAATCTAACTTTTATCATTCTCTTAAATACATTTATTGAGTCAGCATTTTTATAATCACTTTCCAGATTGTTCCACAATCTTGTTCCTTGGAATGAAGTACATCGGTCCTTCAAATTTGTTTGAATTTTGGGCTTTACAAACATCTCTAAACCCTTAAGGTTATAATTACTTACTCTCTTAACGCAATTTAATTGAATATTTAGAGGTAATACATGTTTATGAGCTTTATACATAACCTGCAAAATATTATGATCAACCAACTCATAAAATTTAAATAATTTCAACTGACAGAATAATATATTTGATGGGTGACTGTAATGTTTTCTGGTGATAATGCTTATGGCTCTTTTCTGTAAAATAAAGATAGGATTTGTAATTGTTTTACATGCTTTCCCCCAGACTTCAATATAATAAATCAAGTGTGGAACAGTTATTGCATTATATAACATAAACAAAGCTTTGTCATTAAGTAAGACCCTTACTTTATACAATACTGCGATGGATTTGGCTATTTTTGTTCTTAAGTGATTTGTGTGGGATTTCCATATCAGCTTTTCATCACTGATAATAAATAATCCAAAAGGCTAAATAACTACAACCTGCTTTTGTCTTCAGACCAGCCTGGTGTCAGTGGAGGGCCTGTCCCGGCTTGTTGACCCCTCCCAGCTTACGGCTGATCTTGGTGGCTCATTGGAGTACGACCATGTTGAATGGACTGAGCTACGTCTGGGTCTGGAGGAGTTTTCAGGGGCCGCCATGCAGCTGTTGGCTCAGCTGGAGCAGCTGGAGAATGGGCTGAACCGGATCCCGGAGCCTCAGGATGTGGACGAGGCCAGAAAGTAAATCTTTTGATGCTCTTTCAGATTTGCAGGTCCTCCAACAAGGATCTGTGTAAAAACCTTTCTGTTCTCTAGACTTCTGGAGGAGCACAATCGTCTCCGTAACACCATCGCCACTGCACCAGTTGACACTCTGGACCGAGAAGGAAGGAGCTTGCTCCAACGCATGCGCTTGGGCCCCGCTCACGGTGACGGCTCTAACGATGGTGGAGGTGGTGGAGGCACTTGGCTGTCAGGAGGGGCAGACTTCCAGAGTGTGGCACCAAAGGTTTCATCTCTGCTGGACCGGCTGCAGGCGGCTCGCACCCACCTGCTGCAGAGCTGGAGTGACAAGAAGTTGCACTTAGACCAGGCGCTGCAGCTACATCTTTTCGAGCAGGACGCCACCAAGGTGAGTTCATGGAAACCAGAAGGAAGCATCAAAATCCTTCAGCTCAGCTCACAGTCATTACATTTTGCATCAATTTGCTTAATGTTACTTGAAGTTTTGCATTTCCACATGTAAACTCTGAGCTGTCTCATATGCCTGTCTCAGATGTCAGAGTGGATTGCTCATAGTAAGGAACTCTTCATGCAGAGCGTGACAGAAGTCGGTCAGAACCACCAGCACGCTCTGGACCTTCAAACACAACACCAGCACTTCACCGCCAACTGCATGGTCAGTTTCTGCAAACCTGTTTGTTCTGCAGCTGATTTTAAAGACAACTACCAACCAATGTATTTGCACTTGTGTAGAACGGCAGTGTGAACGTGGACAGCGTGGTAACTGTGGCAGCGAGACTTGCTGAGGCCGGTCATTACGGAGCAGAACGGATTGCGTTGGTGTCGTCACGTTTACAGGAAGACTGGAAGTCTCTGACGACAGCACTGGAAGAGCGAAGTAATACCCTTGCCATGGCAACCGGCTTCCACCAAGGGGCAGAGCAGGTACCGTCCCACCAAAAAACAAAACCATACCGAATATGTCCCTGTTCAGAATGCTGTCCAAAAGTCTTCATGTAGCTCTATTTTTTGTATTTTGTTTTCAATGATCCAAGCTTTGTTGCCGTTTTAAAGTGCTACTGGGCAATAGTTATGTCTGAACAATTCATAGGTCAGAGATAAGTGGAGTCAGTCTACTCTACCTGAAGCTGAACAGTTACATGGTGGTGGGACGTTCATTTTCACACACACCTCACAAGACACATGGTGCACAGTTCCTGGGAAATCGCTCCTGCTGCTGAACACTTCACAGGAGCCTCCACTCAGTAATCTGTCGTTTTGGCCACAGATCTGTCACAGAGGGTCACAGTTTTCATCAGGCAGATTCCTCTGTGCATAATGTCTACGCTGTCACTATTCCACTTGACAAACTTTATGAATCTGAAAGAGTCATATAGATGAATGCATTTTGTGACTGCTTCGGACAATTTCACCTCCAAAACTATCCATGGTGTTTGGACCAAGTTTCGACAAGACTTTTTTTTTTTCCTGCCCTGTCGGGCAGGTGACAACAAATGTTACCTGCCCGACATGAAAAGTTACCTGCCCAAAACAAAAATGTTCAAATTTTGATAACATAAGAAAAACGTGTACTGTATTTGTTCTACAAAAATATTAACATGGTTATACAGAGGTATGTAACATGTGACATCTGATTAAACAGATGCAAACATTAACATTTAGACTGAGTTACTAACAGTCAATTGTATTATCAAGAACATCTTCAAAAACTTTTTTTAGACCTTTCCAGTGTTTTCCCTAGAGTATTGGCCTTGGGGGCGGGGCTTATGAAAACAGAATGATCAACAGCAGCTTTGTTTTAAATACAATTTACAGAACATGACAAAGTCTACAATTTGCATTAAAATAATCGTATATAGCCTATCCCAGATCTAAAGATACATTTAAGATATCTTGAACAGGAGTCTCCATACAACTTAATGATAAATCTGATGTTATTTATATTAGTCAGAATATAATTAGAGATATCTTAAATAGGTATTTTGTCTTGTCAAAATATATTAAGAGATGTCTATTTATTTGTTTGTTTCTTTCATTCATAAAACAAAACCATCTATGTACACCATTAAAAAAACAAAGTAAATCATACCCTGAATTAAAAAGGGTGCAGAGTGAAGTTAAAAAAAAAACTTAGCATATTTGCCCCGTATTTTCAAAAATCAACTTCAACACACAAACCAGCTCAAGCTGGAAAGATCCCCAAATTAAAAAAACAAGTAAATTAAACAAAAATAATAAAAGAAAACATTTTATTATTTTATCCTAAATAACTAATCTGTCTATTTTAGTCATAAAACAATTTCAGATAACTAGAATGTGGTGACGCCAAATAAATGTTATATCTGCCTGCCATACAATGAACTTCTGACTGCTGAATTGACCCGCTGCTGCTGCGCTCTCATCTTCATCATCATCTTCATCATCAGAGCAGAAGCCGATATTAGCAAGATGGCTTTATGACTGTAAGAACGTCCACATATTTTTTTCATCTCTGTGAGTAACAATACATAAAAAAACATTTTTTTCCTCTGAAAACACGGTTGTGAAAAACATGGGCAGAGCCAGGGGGTGGCCGATGGCCACCACAGACAAATCTTTGGCCACCCCATTGGCCACCCTGCTGTACACACCCCTTCCACAGTGAAACAACCTTTAGGGGTGTAATAATCCTCCTGAACAGTTGGTGGCAGTGTTTAACAATTTGAAACATCACCAAGTTCAAAGAAGTGACAAAGAAGTGATTGTTTTCTATACAGAACATATGCCAATGCAATCTGACTTATGGTGACAAAAGTTTTTGTTTTTTTAGTCACATAACACAGTGTCATTTTATGTTCTGAAAACTGAATGATGCTCTGTCCCTTTTGGTTAGGAGTAGGCCTATCACTAAATCATAAAAAGTGAAATGCCCCTTTAAATTCACTGTTGGTGATTATCAATATTGCACCTCTTCATTGAGTAAAGTTATTAATATTAGTTTTAAACATGCAGTTGAGGGTCATTATTTGGCATGATGACATGTGTTACAATTAAAAATAAATCAATAAACAATTTAAAGTAAAAGGCACCCTTAAAGTCAATGGATATGATAAATTGTGAAATTGTGACACATTAATTAACCTTATCTCAGCTGTAGCAGTGCGTTTAAAAACAGGATAATGAAACTAGTTTAATGAATAATCTGTCACTGAAATAATTATCAAATCAAGTGTTTATTTATGTAGGTAAAAGTATGTTTAACAACCTGGTAAAATACACCAGAATGCAGGAAATTGCATCTATTTCATTCAAAATTTTCTGGGGGAGGACCCTCAGACCCCCCAACAGTGTGTCCTCCCACTTTTAAAATGGTTCTGACCATGTTTATAAGGTAGTCACTGCCTGTATAAGGACATAAAAAAGGACCAAAACACAAAGATCCGCAGAAGTGATGTCATTTTCTTGGCCACCGCTGTGTGAGTAGTGGTCCCCATCTGACCACCCCTGAGAAAAATGTCTGGCTCCGCCACTGGTGAAAAAACTACGGCTGTTGAAGCTTCGCTCTGCGCGACTTGCAGCAGGAAGGAGGGAGAGATTATGATCCCGCGACACGACCGCAAGACATAACTTTTCTACAGGGGAGGGGGAAATTTTGAGGATTTATTCTCTCTTTACGTGTTTTAACACATAAAGAGAGAATACATTTCTACAACATTTCTACTACATTTCTTCATTTATTTTCAGAATATTTCGAATAAATGGCCCTATAAAAAAATGAAATGGTTTACCTGCCTGGTCGGGCAGGCATCGGGACACACCCACCTGCCTGAATATGGTTTTTACCTGCCCCGGGAAGTCGGGCAATAGGATTTGCTGAACCCTGGTTTGGACGCACAACAGCTGGTATCTTGAAGCTGTGTATTTGAAGCAAAATTGTTGTCAAGTGCTTTTCCGCATAAACAAACACACCCATGAGCTTCTGACCAATCACACAAAAATTGGCACATTTACCTGAGAGAAAGGGCGGGTGAAACTGCTCTGCTAACAATACATAATTTCTGTCACACACCTATGCCAGAGAGACTTCGGCTGGAGCATGCAGGGCTCTTTAACCTTCCTCTGAAAATATTTAGGTGCATAAACTGAACCTTAATGACACAAAAAGCAGCTGAAGCCCAAAGAAAACTGGAGATAGAAAAACTTTGAAAAAATTATAAAAAAAGACTCATTGGAAGCAAAATGTAAATGAACGAGGACTATCTTCTTCTCTTTGTTAAATAAATTGTACTGAAATCATGTGGTGATGTCGACTGATCTAAACATCGCCTGCCTGTCTGTATCTCTGTTCAGTTCATGCTACGAGTAGAGGCTTGGGTTAAGATGTGCTCTGAGGGATCTTTACCTTCAGCAACAGCTGAGCTGGAAGCTGCAGTTAAAAAACACCAAGAGCTCAACGAGGAGATTTCTGCAAACTACACACAGGTACGTTCTGGTCCACTGTCCCACCTTTCACCTGCCTCTGTTCAAAACACCCACCTGTCTTTTATCCCGTCTGTCTGCAGGTCAGTGAAAGCGGTAAAGCATTAATGGACGTCCTGCAGCGAAGCTCAGCAACTGAGTCTGATGAGTCGACAACCAAACCAGACTTCACAGCTGCCACACACACCATCATGGGAGTCCTGCACCAGGTGATGCAGGTAAGGTTCACTGTTTGAATTAGAGCAGAGATTCTTAACCTATGGGCCGCGGCCCAATTGTGGGCCGTGAGCGCCACCTTGAGGGCCTCAAAACAACAACAGTTTTTACCTTTGGGCCCAAGAGGGCCGCAGGACCGCATTGATTTAAAATAAGTTGCATTACACTTTCTCACCACTAGTAGTGGTAGTGCAACACTCAGATGTTTGACAACTTTTTTAATACTGTATGTAGAAGAAGAACCTTAGAAATCTGCCGAGAATGGAAACCTATTTTAAATG